ATTTGATGATAAACTTCCAATTTCATCTCCAACACATATTAATAATAATCCATATACACCCCAATTTAATATGAAATCTCCATCTTGTTTAAACAATCCCTTATCTCCTCAACGAGTTAATCCATTTTCTCCAAATTCTAATAGTTCATTTAATCATTCGACAGCACTTCAATATCAATCACAAGATCCATGGTTTTTATCTGAAATGTCAACAATATTACGTCAAAATACCAATATATCATTAAGTGCAACAGCACAACAAATACTTGCTGCAAATACAGCAAATAATAATCGTCCATTACGTTCAGAAAAAATCGATATTGAAGTTATCAAACATCTTATTCGAGAAGCTAGTTGGAAACGACAATGTGGAATGAAAAAAGAAGTATGAAAAATTTTCTTTTTCCTTCAAAAAAACATAAAATCTTTTAAGGTTTGTGTTTTTTGTCGTAATAATGGTGAAAATGAATTAATTTATTCAAGTCATTCATTAAAAGATTCGATGGGAAATGTTACATGTCCAATTTTACGTGCTTATCAATGTCCAATTTGTGGAGCAACTGGTGCACAAGGTAAATTTTGTTTTTTTTCTATAAATATTATAGATTTATTTTTTTTCTTCTTCTTAAGCTCATACAATTAAATATTGTCAAGCAACTGGTGGTGATGATATCAATCGACATGTACCTACGCCATACGAGAAAATGCTTCGTATGCAAACATTTGGCTTTGATGATAATATAACACCATCCATGCCAACATTTTTTGGTCAATTAGATAGTCCTTCATCCCTTTATACAAATGGTTGGTCTAATAGTTATTTATAAACAAATACTTCCTCTTTTTTTGTAATAGTTTGCAACAAATAGTAACAAAAAAACAAAAGATCAGTGAATTTTTTTTTATAGTTTAACTGATTTAATATCTAGTTAGTATTCTTTTTTTTTTGTACGCACATGAAATTTAACTATCAATCATGTGAAGTAATAACTGGATTTGTTTGTTAGTATTACGAATTGAAAAGACGTTCTTCTCTTTCACTTCTTTTTCTTTTTTTTTGATATTGACGAACCCGGTTTTTTTAAGTATTAAAAAATAAAAATCTAGTAGAAAATAAAAGTGAAACAAACAATAGTAAAAATAAAAACTAATTTCCGATTCATACTATGTCTTTCAATAACTCAAGCAATACTGATTAATAAATTAGTCAACACATTTGTTGACTATTGGAACTCTTATATTAACAAACCAGATCAATCAATCATCATCATAGAGTATTGCATTTATCGAATGCAGATTATTTTTTTAAACGACTTGATTTATTATTAAAACCTAAAACAACTAATAGATGTTTGCCAACGATTATTTTAAATTGTATGAAACGTATGTGAATGATCTCAATGTTATAGAAAGTTACTTTCGTCATATCTATATTGAGCACAGTGTCCTACATAATTCTATAGGATACTATTACATTTATATAAATTATTATGACGAGTCACAAGGAAATACCGTAAATCTATGGACGGTAATATGTCGCTTTTAATGGTTGCAATGGTCATTATCAATCAGTACTATAGCCAATCTTCGCTACTTGTTTGTCATTTTCCTTCGCTTCGATTGTGTTTATTCATTCAATTAATTCGTAGAAATCCTCATAAAAGATAAATGATCGTGATGATGAATAAAGAAGCATTTGAAATTCTATCGATTGAATTGAAGAGTAAATGAAGCTGTGTCAATTGTTCGACTGACATTGTCAAAGTAACAATTACTTACACAAACGAAGATATATAACACTTCTCTTCGAATGTCTCAAAACTATCAGTTTTCACTTTTTTTAATTTCAATGCTGAGTAAGATTGTAATGTGAAACACAGCACGAGTTTTCCTGATAGCGAATATACAATCGATTTTCAATTGAATATTCCAATCTTTTTGACCGATAATTTTTTGCGTTATGATACGGACTGCTGTGAGCGAGGATAAGGAATACACATATGAAATTCACACATTTTGTTCATTCGTTGAATTATTTTTAATACTTGGATTGGTTAACCCTAATTTGATCGAAATATCAAAATATCAAGGATCAAAATATCGAATACGAAAATGAGGGCGCATGCAGCAATGTAATAGAGTGGGTGAGGGCGAAAGGTGTTTCTCCTTTTATTTTCTTTCATTCTCAACATTTCTACTTTTCTAATTATGCAGCATTTGGGTTTTCGATATTTTTATCTTTCGACATTTTTATTCTTGGCGTTATTAGGGGGAATCTACTGGATCAAGAAAACTGTTTCAGCTTGTATCTCATTTTAATTTCGTTCTTTGTATTTTCAATTGATACTTATATAACAAACTTGACAAGAGCTATTCAAAATAAATATTACGATAAAGTATTTTTTATTTAAACGATACTTTCATATGAGTCATTTTGTTTGGCTTATTATACAAATAACATCGTTACTTTTACATTTTCTTTCCATGTTTCTGGTTGATTTATTTTTGAGTAAGAAAAATAATGTATATTTACTAGTCACGCGTTTCATTTACATGTGATTGACGATGAATAAGAAAAACTACATTATCTTGTTTATTGATTATTGTTTGCAGTCTTACATGCAACGGCCAACAGATACTATTTACTATTCTGAATTTTAGACTTACTTTTGCCTGATGGGTAAAGGAAATTTCGATGAAAATGGTTCAATACGACTTTCACTTCGTTGGTATTATTCTATAGTAGTATGTTCACAGATTATTGGAGTTATTGCAGTTATTTTAATTGGCGTTTTTCTTGGAAAATATCGTGGTGGTTTTGGTTGGGGTGTAAGTATTTTTAGACACTATTTATTATTCAAAGTAGAAGAAATAATTCAAATCAATATTATTTTTCTTTTAGTCTGATTTAGAAAAGGTATTTAATTATCATCCATTATTTATGACACTTGGTATGGTATTTTTCTATGGTGATGGTAAGTTTAAGTAATGATAATTTCTATTTAGTTATATATATATTGCATTGATTTTGAAAGCTATTTTGGTTTATCGTGTATTTCGTGATGTACAAAAAATTTATATTAAAATTCTTCATGCAAGTTTATTGTTAATTTCACTTATCCTAACATCAATTGGTCTTAAAGCTGTTTTTGATAGTCACAATCGAGCTAGTCCACCACAAGAAAATCTTAATTCACTTCATTCATGGATTGGTCTTACAACTGTAGTTTTATTTGGTTTACAATGGATCTGTGGTTTTGTTGCTTTTCTTTTCCCAAAATTAAGTGAAAATATCCGTAAAGCATATATGCCAAGGTAAGAACGATGAGCACAATCATTTTTTTTTAATATCTTATGATAATTCTATTTAGTCATAAGTTTTGGGGAAAATTTATATTTATTTTTGGTGTAAGTGCAGTTCTTATGGGTATTACAGAATATGGTATTTTGTAAGTGATAAAATTTTTAAAATTATAATTATTTATCCGTATTTTAGTAATCAATTATTCGATGATAAGAAATTAAGAAATCAACGAAATATGATCAATATTTTTGGGTTTTTTATTGTAGTTTTTGCTGTTATTATTGTTTATCTTGTTGATAATGATGATTTTCAAAGACCTCCAGATAATGACACGGAACATGCACCTTTGATCGAATAATAAAAACTATTCAAATTAATATAATGAGATACGATTACTTGTTTTTGAACAGTATATTTCATGTCAAAAAGTTATTATATTAAATTAAATATATCACTCATTTCTATAATTTATTTGATACTTTCTAAAATTCAGATATAACAGTTAAGATCAGATGTTGTGTATGTACAATCAATGATACAAAAAAACCAATATGTCAAGTAATCGGGAAAAAAATAAATTCTTGAGGGTGTGGAAGAAGAGTGGTCCATACCTTCATACTTGTATTACTTTTGATCAAACATTCTCTCTAGTGAGATATTAGATACTATTTATTGATACTTATCTTGTCTTTCTTTCGTATACACATCAATCAATTGATTAGCAGAACTAATGAGTTGATTCTTTTACTTTTTTAGAATACAAGAAAAGAAAAGAAAGAAAAGCTATACTGATAAAATTCTATTCTACTGCAATGTAACACATATATATTGAGTTCTATATAGAAGTAATTGTATATTGACATATAATCGTTTTAGTAATCTTACAAATCCCAATTCTCATAAGAGATTTTCCTTCTATAATCATGTTTATTTAACATTTTCGGATATGAAGATAATTCTTTCTTACAAACATTTATAGTTATGAATACTAAACCGACGAAACTAATTTACTTTGTTCTTTTTATATATCAATATTGATAATATATATCAATCTCAATGGGATTTATCAATTAACAATGCTTTGTATCATTGATATATTTTATCATGGGAATTATATAGGAAATAGTTAATTATCTTTGGTCAATTTTCATTGTTTCTATTCAAGGGATTGTATATATTACTGATATACATATAATTCGTTTCTGCAAACAATATTAACTAATAATAATTCCTTCGACGAACATTCACCTGTTTTTTTGTCGAAACTTTGACATTATGATTGATTAGTTTTCTATTCTTATACATGTCATCGATACATACGAATCTATTCTTTTAATTAGTTTGTTTTATTTAAATCATCATCACAATTCTATTTCTTTTTTCTTTAGAGTTATTACATTACGTTTAAGAAGAAAAGATTGAAATATGTTCTTACACATTTTGACTTGATGATTCATTTTCAATCTGTACTATTATCAGTCTAGTTGTACATCATCAGAAATAGAGAGAAGAAAAAAAGAAGACGAGGAGAAACGATTCTTAATTGCTATTCGATCCTTTCATCAAGCACAACTTCGATCAACCAACCAGATAAAAATAAACGATAGTAAGACGAAGAAGAAAAAATAAAAGTAAATGTACATCACATCATTATGAAATCCAATAATAGACTTTTATTTTACATATAGCATACAATTATTCATCATCGTTTAAGAATCATAATGATGACAGATTTTCGTAATTGTCAACAACAGTATTTTGATAATTCATCAGCAACAACATCAGTACCTATTCCTGTTTCATCTTATGGTTCATATTTTCAACCAAATATTCATAATAGTACATCAATTCAATTAGATGAACAATATACTCAATTTCCATCTACTTATACATCACAATTTTATTCTCAATTACCCTATGAATATGATTCGTCTTCATTTTTACCACATTATTCAACATTACAACCAGTTAATTCATCCTATACATCATCTGATCTTAGTCCAGATAAATCACTTAATCATATATATACATCATTACCATTACAAACAACACATTCATTAATTTCTACTACTGAATCACGATCACCATCTAGTCATTCATGTGATGAACAGTCAAATTTAAATAAAACAGATACTATTCATACACGATCTTATCCTAGTAGTGGTTCATGTGATGGTACACATCGTTGTTTATTATGGGCATGTAAAACATGTAAACGTAAAACAGTAACTGTTGATCGACGAAAAGCAGCAACAGTACGTGAACGACGACGTTTAAGAAAAGTTAATGAAGCATTTGAAGCATTAAAAAAACGTACATGTTCAAATCCAACTCAACGTTTACCAAAAGTTGAAATCTTACGTAATGCTATGGAATATATTGATAATTTAGAAGAATTGTTACGATCTGCTGGAATTAGTTCAAAATTATTTCGACATGGTCTAGATGATCAAAAACCAAATACTAATGAAGTAAAAAAGATTTTCATTTCTATAAAAAATAATCATTATATATATACATTCT